GGGGGTCAGGTGTCCAAATGTTCTTCTGTTGATGATGATCTTTAAATTTGAGACTCAAGTGAGTTATTGGCATGGAGTTCAGATGAGCAACCGCCACACAAAACTGGTCACACCATGTCTGTATGGAGCTGTGTACACGGGGGACAGTCCTGGGGGGGGACAGAAAAGGGTCTTCACCAAACTGTGACCACAAGGCTGGAAGAGCCCAACTGTCTACAATGTCTTTGTATGATGTAACAGAACCTTCACTGGAGACATCTGAACCTCATAATTTGGAGGAGTTCCAATTTGTCATAAAGGTGATCAGTAGGTTGAGGTCAGGACTTGAGTTCCTCCACCAAACTGGTCACATAGTGTCTGTATGGAGCTGGCTTTCTACTTCCTGTGACATCTCCGTGTGAGGAAGTGAAGGGAAATCTCTCCAAGACAACACAACAGAAAAAAAGAAGACTGACGTGGGTTATAACCCTTCCCGACTCCACCCAGAACCACAGAATAGACACTTTATAAGGTACTTTATTGGGGGCCAAAATATGATCCCAGCTCGGCTCAGTCTTTCTAAAATCCCAGAGGGAGGTAAATCCCAGTAACGGCTTCCTCTGATGTATTGCTGGGGAGGGGGAGGGGAGGTGTCACCCAGTGCGACCGCCGTGCATGCATTATGATGTCTGTGGTGTGACATCGTTACGCATGGGCAGTGATGCACTTCACTCCCGGCAGCCATATTGGTGATGGACGCCGGCAAAGAGGGAGGGGATTTTGACCCGGTGGGATGAGGCTTTGCGCGCGCGCGTTCATATCCCACAAAGATCCACCTCACTGGGGGTGACGCAGTCAGAACAAAACACCCGTGTGAGAAGCCTCAGACGTAGGTGCCCATGGTTTATCTTCTCCAGCACAGAGTCAGTGTGCAGCCCTGGAGTCAGCTTCCATCGAACAATTCTCACAAGGTTATTCTTCCTTGCCGGGCAGATCACTGAAATCTTCTATTAATAGGACAAAAACAAAACGAAAATTGGTAAATGTGAAAAGTTTATTTTTCTGGAATTGTCCGAAGCGGCACTCGGAGACTCCTGTATTCCCGCTATACCCACATTGGGGTCTATTTATAAAGAGAGAAAAGGGCCGTTCACACCGCGAATATCTGTCAACGTTCGTTCTGTGTGCTGATGTATGCCAAAACAAACTTTATTTAGATGTTTCTTTACAAAGGAATTGACATTTTTAATTTTTTTTATGCAATACTGCAATACTGCAATATAACCACCAGATGGCGGCAATGAGCCCAGAAAATAAATCCCGAGCTCCTGCAGCTCCATCTAGTGGCCACAATACAATATTACATGAAAACATTTGAACCTCCATTGCTCATTCCCCAATGTGACCCGTTAATCCTCCATCATGTCATTCTTTTTCTTTGTATGATGTCTGGAATTCAACATTGTCGTCGTCGTCGTTGTCAGTATTTTGTAAAAAAAAAGTGTCATCTCGTTATCCTGGAAACCATGAAAGAAATAAAAGATAAAAATCTGAGAAATGGTTATTTTTGGTGAAGGTCAAATATATGAAAAGAAAACGTGAAAATGAAGAGGCATCCAGCACCTCCGTCACTGTGACCGCATTGAGCGAGTAAGATATTACATACGTGGATCTTATGTCAGTGTCAGGCACAGCTGCAGATCAAAGGTCAGATGCAATGCATGCACCAGATATATGAACAAAACAGGGTATAGTGAGATTTCCCCCAGTAGTTTGTGTCTCTGCCCCTCCCACAATGGTGAGATTTCCCCCAGTAGTTTGTGTCTCTGCCCCTCCCACAATGTCTCTGCCCCTCCCACAATGAGTGTCATGCGTGCCGTGTTGTGGTCACGTGTGCTGTGGTGCCATGTTGTTACAATGACACATGTCACCCTTTTTATACAGCGCTCCCCCGGTGTTGATGATCGGCGCGCTCGGTGTGATCGGCTCTGACTCCCGTCTGCCCTGGTGCAGTGTTGCTGTTGGGACGGTTCAGCGATCACCCCGAGGTCGGGGGTCAGGGGTCGGGGAGATTATCTTGCACTGCGTACATTGTAGATTACGGGACGACCTGCTGACACAACGTTACACCTCTGAGGGGAGGACGTGTCCCGGCTTGTCTGCGCTGCACGGAGAACACAGGAACCGCATACACAGCACACGAGACGTCATCACATATATGCAGCATGCTGAGTGTCATGTGACCTCCTCCAGGTATGTATTAACTCCCACAGAGATCACATGACTCCCCCTGACAATGATTACCTTCTCCTTTTCTCTCCAGAGGGACGGCACTGGGCACTGCCTTTGTTCAGGCATCACCCGGGGTCACCATCTACTTCCTGGACTGAGAAGCGGCTCAGAGGTGACACGGTCGCGTAAATCCCGCTGTCTGTGTTCACAAATGTCTGGCACAGATCAGCCCCCTGCTGCAGCCTCTCACCTTGTGTCTGGATACAAAGTTACAATGTTGCAGACTGATCGCTGGGGGAGGGGAGACTGAGGAATTGCTTCCTCCTGCCTGCAGCAGACTGATCACTGGGGGAGGGGAGACTGAGGAAATGCTTCCTCCTGCCTGCAGCAGACTGATCACTGGGGGAGGGGAGACAGAGGACATGCTTCCTCCTGCCTGCAGCAGACTGATCACTGGGGGAGGAGACACTGAGGGAATGCTTCCTCCTGCCTGCAGCAGACCGATGACATCATCTCAGCCTAGGCACGGTCACTGATTGGTAGTCATGACTTGTATTGATAGGAGGCGGAGCTTTTGTGAACATTGATCCTGTTGCTGCACGTTGTGTGACGTGTCCGGGATTCCTCAGGCAGACGTGTGCAGTGACAGGTCCTCTTTCTCGGCTCGGGTCCCTGGCAGCGCGGCTCTCACGTATACAGCGTCGGCGGTGAGGCAGCTCAGTGATGTCACCGGCCGGCTCGGTATTCATGGTCTCGGCCCGGTGACGGCATTTATCAATGGAGAGCCGGCTATATATAGCGTCCGGCGGCCTCTAGGAATAGCCGGGACGGAACGCGCTGAGCTCAGCGGAATGGCAGCCGCCT